GTGTGTGTGTGTGTGTGTGTGTGTGTGTGTGTGTGTGTAGTAGAGTGTGTTTAGTGAATAATAACAATAAGCAGGAGTCCCTCCTCCTTCCGCAGTATGCCGGCTGCCCAGCCGCGCTGGGAACACGTACTTGCTCCTGAAGCTTCTGCTTCTCCTTATTGGCTTCGTCCAGCTGCAGCTGCATTTCTTGGATCTGCCCAATGTCAGCAGCGGACTGAAGAGACAGAGGGGAAAGAAGAAATGTCACCTGATACTCTACTGTCCCTAATGTAGCAGAAGTCCCCTCAGATCAAGTCTCCACAGGACGCACGGGAAGCCCAGCAGGCCATTCCACTCCGAGCCCCTCAGGACAAAATGTGGGGAAGACGCTTAGGACCCCACGTGGGAGCTGCTGTCCCCTGTGACACAGGCCAGGATTGGCCAGTGGCCCTCATCACGTCTCTGGACGCTCCTCCCTCATGTCCGCTGGGAGCCCCCTGCTTGTCTCCTGAGCCCCTCGTCTCCCTCCACCTCCAGCCCACCTCCCGGGGATAAGCTGTCACCATCTCACTGGGACCACTGCAGCTTTCGTCTCCCCAGAAGCTACCTCCTGGGCCCCCAGTCAGTGCCAGACCCTCTGCTAGGGTCTGGGATACAACATGGACCACTGTCCTCATGGGCTGACGGTCTCAGGTGGCATCCTGGCTGGTCCTCGACTCCCATTCTTGTCCCTTAGAGAATTCATCAATGGCTCCATCACTCACGTTTAAAGCCCGGGACCATCAAAGCCTCCAGGAGCCCACAGTGGCCCTCCTCTGGCAGCTTCATGGAGCTCAACTCACACTCAGATCCCTCACTGGCCTCGTCTCAGGCTCTCACATGCACCACCACAGGCCCTTTGCATGTGCTGGTCCTTCTACCTTAACCATTGCCCTCTCTCTGTCCTGCTGTTACGTACCGTTAAGTTGGAACCAACTCATAGATGACTCTCCATGGGTTTTCAATAAATCACATGCAAGGTGATTATTCATTTTTTTTTCCTCTGGTAGAGCCACTGATGGATTTGAACAGTGAGTCTTCAGGTTGGCAGCACAGCTCCTTGCCACTAAGCCACCAGAGCTCCTGGTCTCCAGTGTAATCTAACTCCAATCTAACTCACTCCTGCTTCTTATTCAGATCTCCATTGCAGGGAAGCCGTACCTGGCTCCCAACCTAGGTTAGGGTGTGTGGAGCTGTATTTATTTTCTTTTAAGACTCAGCTCAGTTTGCAGGATTCCACTCAGCTCTGCAGGACTGTGGGATAAAATCTGCCTGGACCACGAATCCATGAGCTTGATGAGGAAAGGGACTGAATATGCTTTTACTCACATGATGAGTAAGTTGGCATTTTTCACAGTGTGGAACGCACAGTGGGTTCTCAGGAAATGTTACATACAAGGCAGCAGATTGATGGCTGGAAGGACGGATGGGTGGATGGACAGAGGGACAGGTGAGTGGGTGAGTGGACGGGTAGGTGAAAAGATGGCTGGATTAATGATAGATGAGTGGACAGATGGATGAAGGGGTGAGTGGATGGGTGTGTGCCTGCGTAGAAGGGGGTATGTAGGTGGATGGATGGGTGGGTGGGTGATTGGATGCATGGGTGAATGAAGAGGGTGTGTGTGTGTGTGTATGCAGGTAGATGGATGAACAGAAATGTGGACGGATGAGTGGGTGAATAGATGAGTGTGCAGGTTGTCAGTGGGTGGATGGATAGATGTGTAGGTGACTAGATGCAAGGGTGGATGGGTGTATATGTGTAGGGGATGGATGGATGGATGGATGGACGGAAGGACTGGAGGGTGGAAGGATGGGTGAGTGTGTGAATGGGGTGTGTGTGGGTGGATGGATGGATGGATGGATGGGCGTGTATTTGTGTGTGTGTATGGATGGAGGGTG